GGGCGGGTTGTGGGGGGGGCCGGGGGGGGGGGGGGGACCTGCCAGAGTGGGTGCCCGCGGGGATCCTTGCCCTTCCCTGCTGTCCCTGCCGCTGCTGGCCTCTGTCTGGAGGGAGGGACTGGCCGGGTGTCCGGCCTGGGTTGCCCCAGAGGAATCTGAGACAGCCTAAACTGTGGCCCCGCCTCCCTCTTCTGTGCCAGCAGGACTTGGAGCTAGGACACCTAGGTCCTGGGTCCCCTCTGATAGGGAAGGGGTGTTCCACCGTGGGCAGACAGTAGGGTCTGAGGCTCTAGGGTTCCAGCTTCACTTTGTGAATCTCAAGGTGCATCTGGCCTTGAGGGGACTACGATGAAGGCAGACAGACAGCCGCTCCTTTTTGGATCAGTCAAGAAATTGAGGTCACACCAATGGCCCCTCTTTCTATCTGAGCTGCCTGTGGCGGTGGTGGGGGGGGGAGCAGCCCTGTAGCTGAATGTGACAAGACTCAGGGGAAACCTCAGGCCCCTTCAACTGAGCCCCTGTGCGAGCCCCGCCCCTCCCTAAATGCCAGACTAGGAGCTGACAGGCGGCGCTGCGTGCGCTGGGTTTCAAAGGTGACGGGGAACTTTGTTATTGCAGGGGTTGCTGCCACTTTCTTCACATCCTTAACAGACTTCAGCAGAAGGGATTGAGTTAGCTCTCAAGGAAGACTACCTGGCCATAGGGGCTTATTTGTATGGCATGTGGAGCAGGCGAGCTGGGAGCATAGGACAGACTCCTGTCCATGTGATTTGAAGGAGGTGGCAAGAAAGACCTCCGTCTGTGTGGGCTGTTTCTTTCTGGACTTCTCTTATCTACGCCCTAGTCGTTCTTGAGAGTCTCAGAGCTGGGGAAGAAAAGAGGAAGGTTAGCATGTGGAAGTTCCTTCTTTAGCAGCCTGGGGAGAGGCTGGGGATGGAATTCTGCAGGAGAGGAGAAGCAGTAGAAGACGGCTTTTGTTCCTGGGCTGGCTTGGGAAATGGCCCCATTTGCCATCATAACACTTTACCTTCCCACCCCCCAGCCCTGTTCAGCTGAGTGTGGAAATAGAGGGATTTCTGCTGCCATCATCTTCCATGGGCTTTCCAGGTACCTGCCCCCCCTAGGGAACCTCCATTTTCATCCTTAAATGGGTTTCCTCCATTCCGTGCTCCAAAGTAATCCCGTTCCCAGTGACCTACACTGATTCCTGTCTCTGTTATGTGGGCTGCTGGGTTGGGGCCTATGGGGACTGGGGGAAGGGGCTTCTCACTTTCTTTCCTTTTTCTTTCTGCCCACCAGGTCCCACAGCCTACAAGTAGGGAGCAGGGAAAGA